GTGTTACACCTAGCACTAAGGATAACGTATAACCGGACCTTAGAATGGCTGAACTTAACGTATCCAAGAATAGTCAAAATACTGACTTGAGTAAGAACACAAAGTATTAGGTATAGGTAAAGAGGTTGGAAGGGCCAGAGAATAAGAAACAGGGTTTATTCTTCTAACCACATGAAAAGGAACAAGGAACCTCTGAGAAAACTTCATGCTGGGAACCTTCAACCTGATGTTGCATGAGGATAACCAAACCCGATCACCCACCTGGTAAACTGGATTGGCACTCCGCCGTTTATCCGCATGAAACTTAAAGCGAACAGCCACAGTTTCATGAGCGGAGTGAACCTAAGTCCAGGTATCACAAATAGAGGTGAGATGATCATCCAGAGTAGGGATAGCTGTATCAGAAAACACAGCAGGGAGAACAGCAGGTTGATGACCCATATTGGTGAAAAACGGCCTATGCCCAGATGAGGCATTTATTCCTTGCAAATTCAGCCCAGGGCAATAATTCAGCCCAGTTAGACTGTTTACTGTTCATGAAGCAACTTAAATACGGCTCAGGTGATTGGTTAGCTCTTTCAGCCGTACCATTAGTTTGGGGATGGTAAGCAGAGGAAAATAACAATTCAACGCCCAACTGTTTATTGAATACCCTCCAGAACCGTGACAAATTGGGACACAATATTTTGAGGAATACCATATAGCCTGACAATATCACGTATAAATATGTGCACCAGATCCTGAGACAATGGCAATTTTTTCAGTGGAGAAAGTGTGCCATTTTGGAAAAACTGTCAACTACCATGAGGGTGGTTGTAGACCCTTCGGAACTAGGCAGTTCAACAACGAAATCCATCGATAAATGATGCCATGGGATACTGGGTATAGGAAGTGGCTGTAACAATCCACACGGAAGTTTATGAGGAACCTTCAAAACTGCACAGACAGAGCAGGTGTCTACATAATCTTTAATATTCCTCCTTAATGACTCCCACCAAAATGACCTAGGAATGGCGGATACAGTTTTATTAATACCCGGATGCCCCATGGTCACATTGTCATGGAATACCTTCAGCACCTCTTTCCTGTCAGGCAATGGAATAAACAATTTATTTTGAGGTTTGTTGCAAGGTGTCTGGGGCTGAACCGCCATGATAGCAAAGAGCAAAGGGGACGATA